TCTGCCCAAAATAACTGCCCGCCCCTGGACTAAAGGGCCTGAATCTATTCATCCTCCACAAGAGAAGACTGAGGGGGGTTCTGGTGGCCATCTATAAACTCACTAGGGGGGACCAGCAGAAAATAGGTGAGGCTCTGTTCCCCCAGGCACCACCTGGGATAACAATGAATAACGGCCACAAATTGCTAGAGAGCAGGTTCAGGTTTGACAGAAGTGTGCACATGCATATGCTTTTTACGGTCGCTGCTGTTTGCAAAGCGCCTGTCACAGCCCTCGAATTCACACTTAAATGGCTTTTCACCTAGTGCAGAAAAAAAGGGGGAGCCGATTAGAAAGCCGCATGGGCACCCTTCGGGTGGAAGAGGCAGGAAATCGCCCCCGCGGCGCGGAGCCGCGAGACGCCTGCAACTTCCCAACTCGCGATGCTGGCTCCCAGCACCCGGACCCGCGCCCGGGCTTCACCTCCCCTCGCCGTCCCTTCCACGACCCCCTCCCCCGCCCCAGAAGAAGAGCTTTATTTTAATTTCCCAGCCCCTGGCATGTCCTGCTCATCACAATGCTCCAAGCGATACACGAGGCGCTACAGCGCTCAGACACAAGCCTCAGTGTCTAGGTTCCGCTTTTCTGACTCATTCTCGTGATATTTAGCCTGCCCAGCCCACATATTTTCATACAATATTGAAAATTATTCTGGCCGGGACCTGCTTTCCCCTTCATGCCTTCAAAGCTGCCGACATCGTTGGGAATAATCTAGGAAATCCCTGCCCGCTCCCTGGCAATGGCAAGATACGGAGAGCAGCAAAAGCAGGCAGCGAAGTCTATGGCTTTATATATCCTGCGATTTGGAAAAGTTTGTGCCCATCTCCAGGGCTCATTTTAATGCTACGATCAGAAAAGAACACCTTCGGCTCGGATTTTTTCAAATTACCCCTCGCAATTAAATATTAACCAACGCCGGATTTACAAAAGGGGATAGGAACTGGCTGCCTGGATATTTAGCCCAATTTCTCACTGTGATACAGTCAAATCTGCCTACGACCGATTAATTAAAACCTATAAATTTACCCCGGCAGGATGCTGCTATTTTTTTCTTTCACTCGCCTCCTCCTGCACAGTCGTTCTCCCTCTCTTTCCATTACCGTGAGGGGGGGCGGGGAATATTTCTTTTATTTCATTTTATTTTGCTTCCGAGCCGCTTTGGAAATTGTTTCCACTCCCTTTCCCCCCTGCTCCAAAGGCATCTCGCACAGCTCCCATCCACATTTGCAGAAAGCAAGTGCCCCTTGCCAATGCTTTCCCCTCCCATTTTTCCCCTGACTCCCAGCCAAGACTCTTTTGGGAAAGCTCAGCTCTGCTAGCTGCAGAAAGAAAGCTACAGAGAAGGGTACTGTACCTGTGTGAGTTCTTTTGTGTATTTTGAGGTTCTCTGATCTGGCAAACACTTTCCCACAGCCTGGGAACGGGCAAGGGAAGGGCTTTTCACCTGTGTGGACTCGGATGTGATTTACAAGTTTATATTTGGCCTTGAAAGGCTTCCCCTCTCGCGGACACTCTTCCCAGAAACAGATGTGATTGGACTGCTCGGGTCCTCCAACGTGCTCCACGGTGACATGAGTCACCAGCTCGTGCATCGTGCTGAAAGTTTTGTTGCAGGACTTTTTGGGGTTTGACAATTGCTCGGGCTCAATCCACTTACAGATGAGTTCCTGTTTGATGGGCTGCCTCATGTAGCGGAAGAAGGCCCCTGCCCCATGGTGGGCTGCCATGTTCATGTTCATGTGGCCATAGCCGTGCAGCTGGGTCGATGCATAGTGCTCGGATCGGGGGCTCGTGACCTGGCCGTACTGATCGGGTCTCCCGTACATGTCTCCGGAGAAGCCCAGGCGCATCTGCCCGTTCACCACGTTGGGAGACGCGTGGCTCGTGGCTTGCTCGTGCAGCCCCGGGAAAAGGATGTGTCCCGCGGCATCGGTGTGGCCGTGGGGTCCGGCGAAGCTGCCGGCGGCGGAGGCGAAGAGGCTGTGCTGGGCGCTGGCCGCGGCCGCCTCGCCGAAGCCCCGGTTGCGGAACAGAAAGTCCCGGGTGGAGTTGAAGGCTGCGCTGGAGTAGGAGCTGACATGGGTCGGGTGATGGTGGTGCCCCAGCGCCGCCGCCGCGTAGCCGGGCGCCTGCGAGGTGAAGGCGGTCTGGCCGGCCGAGGCCAACTCGTGGGTGCTGGGGTTAATTTTAAAGGCGCCCATGCCATCGGCGAAGGGGTTGATCCCCAGCCCCACTTCTCTGTCCGTCACATCGCCCGTGGAGTGGTGGCGAGACGATCCGAAGGTAGTGACTCCTATGGCGGGATACTGCGGTCCAGCATCCAGAAGCATCTTCCCACTCTCGGCGCAGCGACCAAAAGCACACAACACGGAGGAGAAGCAGCAGCCAGCAGCAGCAGCGGCGGCAAAAAACCCTCTCTGGAAAGTCAGCGACAATCACCACCAAAGCGACCACATCAAAAACACCCCCCTCGGCATCGGCGCGCCGGAAAAAAAAAGGGGGGAGGGGGGGAGAAGCAGAAGGAGGAGAGGGGGAAAGACCTCGCAGTTGCAAATAATAATAATAAAAAGTATTCACCAAAAAAATCACTGTCTCTGCTCTGGCTTTGCCGGGGCTGCACGGGGAGGGGGTAGGGGGCTCGGCAGAAGCGGGTCGCGGATAACAATGCTGGAGAGAGATCAAGGCGCGCAGCAAAAACAAAAAACAAAACAAAACAAAAATAAACTTCCTTCAGTTCGCTTTGGGCTCTGGGAAGGCAGCGGAGTGGCCGAGAGATTTTTCTCTGCTCCTCGCCTTCCCGCACTCTCCCCGAGCTTTTTTTTTTTTTTTCCTCTTTT